GAGAATTTGAAACAGATAACTAAAAAAACCTACATAAATTCTCAAAAGTATGATATAGTGTAACAATCCGAGCCTCAATCATGAAATTGGGTTCTGTTGTATGCAGTTTTGAAATAACAAGAAAGCAGACAAGGAGAAGACCAATCAATATTTTTGGGTAGAGAACAGACAGATGTCTGCGTACTTTACAGTTTACACATACCCCACCCCCCACCCCCACCCCCACCCCGGTCAAGAACTCACTTATGGAAAACCACATAAAGAAAGAGTAATTTACCTAAATAGGACTAAAACATAATGACTTTCCCAATATAGGACCATATGTTTTTATTTTCTCAATGTAGAACTTTTGGTCATTATCAAGTAGTCATTATTCAAGTAAATGTCCATCATTACTGGACATTATTCCTCCCACAAGGTCATTATTAAGTCCTATTTAGGGAATAAAAAAGTTTAAGTCCTACATTAGGAAAGTCATTATGTTTTAGTCTTATTTAGTGCAAATTTCACATAAAGAAATCCGTCTTTTAATATGAAATGATCCATCTTTGATGATAAAAATCAGAGGCGTCAGCCTTAAGCACACTGTGAAGCATATACCCCTGACAAGATGCAAAAAGCCTCAAGGTCTATAGCTTTTTAAAATATCAATTGGCGATTCTTTGCCGAGGTGATTCTATATGTATCATTGTATTGGCATCAACAACTTTTTAAAACTATTGATGTCTTCCCCTTGGGATGAAAAGAACAGAGATTGATGTCAAAGCCAATGGTGTTGGTGCTCAAGGGACTCCGAAGACCAATACAACGCAAATTTCTTGGTTGGGTATTTTGATTAAAATATCAAACAAGCATCTAGATATATCTCAATTGGATATCTTGAAAATCATGAATTTAGACATCAGATAAGCAATGAAACCTACAGTTCGTCTGGCGAACGTCCCTCAGGTATCCTGTACAGCTTTCCTTGCATAACATACTCATACTCATCAGCAAGTGATTTCCTATTTCCCTGCAACATGATTGCAGCAAATTTGGTCCTTTAGCATTTGAATAATTACCAGTGCATAATCCAAAATTTAAAAGAGTGGCTAGATAGATGGCTATAAACCGACATTGGCTTTTAGCCATCTCTGCACCATAAATGTCAATTAGCATTTGAGATTTAAATAAAGCAGCTAAAACATGAAAACAGCAAGTAGATATCGCATGCCATCTTCTTTTATACTCTTCCTTCCTAAAAGATTTTCTCCTTTCATTTTTTTGCCATCCCAAAACGTCTTTCCACTTTCTATTACAAGGTCACTTTTACCCCTACAAATTCTTACACTGCCTATCACATCATATCTTTTCAATACTAATTTACACATCACATCAATGGTAATTTGGGGACTTCCCTTAAAAGTCAAAACATGAAAGAGATTCTAGGACAAAAGGAGTACAACAAAAAAGGAAAAAAGAAGAACTAACTTCTCTAAAAAGCATGATGTCATTAAAAACATCAAACAGAACTATCACGATTCATGACATTGGCATACCCTCAAACATGGTAAGATCAGTACCTTTCTTGTAACCCACTCATAACACGATGAACAGGGTACACAATAAGATCCGCAACAAAACCCAAAAATTCCAAAATTATCCAAAAAGTAGTACAAGTGCCATAAAATTATAGCATCAAAATGCAGAAAAATACCTGAACATAGTAACCAGAATCTGGAGTCCCATCCAAGTTTATAGTAGAAACCAGAACAATCTTAAGTGTATCATTTAACGCAATGGGATATATGTCCTTGTTCACATCGACTTGCAAAATCTTTTCAAACTGGTTTCCTTTTGCCACGATGCGATCAACTAGAAATAAACACAAGCATTATCTTGTATATCAGATATCAACAAGTCCATTCAGAAACTACAACCTGCGTGTGTAACCTATGTACCTATCACATTCACAATCAAAACTAGACCTGGCAAAACAGACCCAGAATTGATTATCCCAAGAATAACCCGATACCAAAACTGAAACCTAAATGACCTATAAACTGAATACCCGATTTATAACTGAAGCCCAAGATAACCCAAAGAAAACCGGAACCAAACTAAATAGAGTCAAACCCGAATGAAACCTGTAACCAAACAGACCCTACATGAAGAAACCCAAACGGAATTGTGTATTTCATATACATTTCTCCTCGCCTTTTTTCAGGTTATCCCTAAATAGTGTGCTTATAAGATTAATAAAAAATAAATGGTACACCCCTCTAAAAATCTACATAGTGAATTAAACCAAGATATTAAAAACCGAGCTCTCTCCATCCCATAAATGTAAAATACAGGCTGATAGAGGGAATGGTTTGGAATGTTTTAGGAAAATTAAGGGCATGGTTATTTTTATTACCAAAGGGACCTTAGAAAAGAAGAAAATTAACATGCACCCTACAATTAGTAAAATGTGAAAAGATTGAAAATTAATAATGGTGGAAAAGTAAATAGTTGGTGGAGTTTAAGGAAACATAACACAATTTTGAAACAGGCTGATAAGGAAATAATTGACAGAAAAAGATTCAAATACAGACATCCAGCCTCATGCAATTTTTCTAAATAGTGGATGGCAAAGCCTCCACTGATGATTAATCCCATTGTTCATTATGCAAAACTCATTGGTTCAAGCTTTAAGGTCAGGAACACAAGTCCTATCACATATCATTGAAAGTGTGTGCTGCTAACACACTTCCTATATCAATATTCAAAATGACTAGTTTTTCATATTGTAAAAAAAATATTGCATGCAATATTGGAAGATAAACATAAAGCATGATGCATCAAAAGCTCCCATAAAAAATGTGAAAAGGGATACCTTTTTCAAACAGTACACCATCTGGGTTTATCTTGGTTACTGTAAAAATATCTTCAAACAGGGTTGCAACCATCTTGAACCTGTATATGTACATTTGAAAAAGGTTAAGCAAATATTTGAGGAGTAGACCTTAGTTTATAGAGCTTAAATTTGAAACCCAAATGAAGAGGTAAAGGAAGGGGAGCTGCATTTGTCTTTGAAGATGCCAAAAGTCTGAGTTATTCAAAGTGCTAGATCAAAAAAAAAAACAAATTTACTTCACTGTCCCAGTGATATAATGAACAGGCATCTGTTGCGGATTTGGAAAATTTAAAGTATAAAAGCATGCATGGATTAAGGAAGTAGAATAAGAAAAGTGCAGATGAGTCCGAAAAGTGGGGGCAGGTGGTGGGATTAGCAAAAGATGAGTTGGGCCAGTTATAATATGTCAATACCCAAAAATTGCTATGAAGTTAGTATGAATATCAATACCCAAAAATTGCTATGACCAACGAAGGACTTTAAATAACAGAAAATAACATAAAATGACTAACTAATAGAGTATTTTAAACAACAGAGGTAGATGAGAAGACATCTACATAACATCGATAGAAAGTTTAAATCGTACGGTCTTCAGGCTTGAAAAAGGACAACATGAATTTGTTGAGCTAAGAGCATAAATCTATAGATTATTCTGAATTGTCTAATACTCTGTAGCTAAGAAATCAAAATAGTTTCCAGATGCTACCCAATTTATAGACCTGAGGAGTGAAGAGACAACTAAACCAATAACTACAACAAACCCAAAAGGCAACAGGGTGGACCCGGGAATTTTAGGACGTGGGTTCCTCTCTAAGAGCCGCTTCATGTCGGGCATTGATTAAAGAAGTACGGAGTAATTCATAAAATTATCTGCCCCTGAGTAATCATGAAACCAAGACGAAACAAATATACATTTTTTCTAGCTATTACCTTAAAGGGAAATTCATAAATTCAGGCTTGTAAAGGACTTTCTTATGATAACTACAACGTATTTCATCTTCAACTACAAATATAAGCTTTTTCTAGCTTTTACTGTGTTTGTTGTTTTTGTTGTAATCTATAATTCTCTTTCTTAATCTTGGATAAGCTTCTAAAGATTCAAAATCCAAATTCTTTTCGTATTGTTTGTCACAAAGACGTTTCAATCCCTTAGAATCTTGGAGTCTTTGTAAAGTACCTTTTCAGCCTAGTTTAAATTCAAATAAGTAGTTAGTTATCGTAAATTAGCACTTCACTAATTAAATTAATAGAAAAACTAAACCTTCATATAATCATAGGAAAATTAATGTAATCGCAAATGACAACCTCATAATTAACAAATCCACAAATCACAAAGTCACATATCATAATTAAAAATTGACAATTGTCAAAAATAATTCAAAACTACGGATTAGGGCGCATTTAGGTTGCTAAAACAAAATGAAAAACTGTTTTGAGAAAGAGAATGATTAACTCGGAATTAACCTGATGGGGGCGGCAGTCGCAGGCCTGGAGGCGGAGGCACAGGACGGACGGCGGAGCACTGGAGACGTCTGGCAACGGCAGATGGCGGAGAGGCTGCTGCTCGCCAAGCCTTCGTGGGCGCAGGGGCGATGTGCGACAGTGGCTCCAAATAGATATTTTTAGGGGGTTTTAGGGTATTAGGTCTTACGTAGTCCGTGTTTTAGTACACTCACTGGTTTTTTAGATATTTGAAGATTAAGAAAGAAAAAAATACCCGAGTAGAGAGAAGTTTGGAAAATTAGGAGTTGAAAAAAATATATTTCCTCCGTCCACAAATAAACTTTACGTTCACTATTCACAAGGTCAAACTTTATTCACTTTGTTGGCCTATTTTCGTCACCCATTTGATAAAATAATATAGTCATGTCACCTCTAGTTTTGTAGATCTTTTGATATAGTCTTTTAATATGTAATTTTTATTTTTCAATTCTACACCATTTTTCATATAAAATGATTTGAAAATAACTTCAGTCAAACATCGTAACGCGCAATGTGAAGTTTATTTGTCGACGGAGGGAGTAAACGAGTTTTAAAAAAGGGAAGGATTTAAAAATTACTAGGAGTTGGGGGTGACTAAAAAGAGTTAGAAAAAACGTGCGAGAGTTGGAAAATCATTTCCTTTATATCTAAATTTAAGAGTTTGATGCATAAGACCTTGACATGTGGCATAATATGGGGTATACATGTGGCAAAATATAGGACATATTATGTGGCATTTGATTTATGAGCTAGACTTCATTAAATATTATCTGACATCTGATACACTTTTATTTTTGATCAATAATAAAATTATTAAAAATAGTTTTTTAAATAAATTCTTTATATTAAATTTTTAAGAATAAAAATATTCAATAAATTCTTTATATAAAGTGATTAAATTTTTATGTTTAGAAAGTTCATATATGCATTACTTATGTGACTTTTTACACGTAATATGACACATAATTTAATACATAAAATATGAAAAACTATTTTGGTATGAAATCTTTGAATAAATTTAATTATGAAATAATTATATTCATTTTTATAATAATACTTTTTCATGATTCAGTATTTCTTGTTCATTTCTAACACAGTTTTCAATTACTTAATACACTAGTTTCTTTGCCTCTAAATAAATTTCACATGATTGTTTGTTTATGATAAGTTAAAATGAAGTTAGTTTTGAATATATTTCTTTTAATATAGATATGAAATAAAAAAATAAATAACATATTTTAAAAATTACATTAATCATTTTTTTAAAAAATTACATTAATCATTTTTTAAAAAGAGATGGTTGGATTATAATAATGTTCAAGTATAAAAAAGATTGCTATACATGATTTTGTAAGTAATTATTTTAATTTTATAATTTTAGTTAATTACAAGAAAATTTATACTTTATAGACTTTTAGATGCTTGATTAGTTAAATGTAAAAATATATTATTTTTATTAGCTTTTAGGATATGATAATTGATTTAAGTAAATTATATAATGTAATTGATTACAATAAAATTTTATTTCTGTTTGTTATATGATATCCAAGTTCGAATGGGGGGGAGCTCACCATGGCGGCTTACGGGTTTTTATGGGAACCCTAGACGTGATCTTCGTTCGAGTTCATGGACCCTTTTACGGACATTGAAGACTCGATCCCCCCTGCCTTGGGTGGTCATTGGTGATTTTAATGATCTCTGTGCAGCCTCAGAAAAAAGAGGGGGGAGGGCTCATCCTCTCTCGTTAATGGCAGAATTTTGTTCGGCACTTGATGACTGTGGCTTGATGGATCTCGGTATGTGTGGTTATCCCTTTACTTGGGAGAGGGGTCGTGGTTCAGACCACTGTATTGAAGAGAGACTTGATCGTGCAGTGGGTTCAGCTGATTGGATGAGACTTCATGTGGAGGCTCGTGTTTACAATGTGGATATGCGTAGGAGTGATCATTCTGCCCTCTTTTTGAGTTTGTCGAAGGTGACTCGTCGTCCTCGGATCCGAAGGTTCATGTTTGAAAATGCATGGCTTAAGGATGCAGGGTGTAAGGATGTTATAAAAAGTGCCTGGGAGTCTTCTAGCTCACTGTCATTGCCTGCACGACTTGAACATTGCGGTAAAGAGTTGGCAGCCTGGGGTGGAGACCGTTATCACCTTTTCGGTAAGAAGATCAAAGATTTAAAGGCGGTGGTGACTCGACTTAGAAACAAGAGAGGCACCAGTCACCTTCGAGAGCTTCGTGAAGCCGATTCTGCGTTGACCAAATTGCTAGATCAAGAGGATGCGTTTTGGCGCCAACGGGCTAAGCAACACTGGCTTAGGTCCATTGACGCAAACACCAGGTTTTTTCACCAGTATGCTTCGTACAGAAAGAAGAAGAACCACATCCACAGGTTGAGTAATGGTTCGGGTGCTTGATTTGAGGGTGATAATCTAAAACCACTCATCACTCAATACTTTTCTTTTATTTTCTGTTCTGAAGGAAGTATAGACTCGGGGCTATATCATCTTATCCAACCAAAAGTGACCTCGATTCAAAATGATGCTCTCCTCCGACCTTTTGATGCTAAAGAAGTTAAGGAAGCGCTCTTTGCGATGCATCCGGATAAATCTCCCGGTCCGGATGGGATGAATCCGGCCTTCTTTCAGAGGTCGTGGGATGTGGTGGGATCGGATGTTACGCGGTTTGTTCTCTCGTGTTTAAACGAAGGTGTCTTCCCTGAGGCCATGAACGACGCTACCATTGTTTTGATCCCGAAGAAAAATTCTCCTGAGACTGTTGCAGATTTACGTCCTATTGCCCTATGCAACATTATCTATAAGATTATGGCAAAGGTTTTGGCTAATAGGATGAAACCTCTCCTCCAGACGATTATTTCCGATACACAATTAGCTTTTCTTCCTGGTAGACTGATTTCGGATAACATTCTTTTGGCAGCAGAGTTGGGTCATTTTCTTAAAAGGAAGCAGTCCGGGCATCAAGGTTGGGTGGGCTTAAAGTTAGACATGGCAAAAGCATACGACCGCATGGAATGGACCTTTCTACGACGGATGATGCAGTGTTTGGGTTTTGCAGAGAGGTGGATTAATCTGATTATGTTATGTGTAACTACCGTTAGATATCGGGTGTTGGTTAATGGTGATTTGTCTGATGTTATTCTACCCACACGTGGTCTTCGTCAAGGGGATCCAATTAGTCCTTATCTCTTCATTCTTTGTGCAGAGGGTCTTTCTACTCTTTTGCAGGATGCTGAGCGTCGGGGTGTGCTTCATGGTATTCATGTTTGTCGGGGTGTGCTTCATGGTATTCATTATTTGCTGATGATTGTTTGCTCCTTTTTAAAGCATCAAATGCGGAGGCCATTGCAGTTCGAGATTGTCTTGTGGAATATGAGCGGGTGTCAGGACAGGTTATTAATTTTAACAAGTCTACTATCTGTTTTAGCACGAATTCCTCACATGAAGTGCGGGAGAGCCTCACACAGTTCTTTGGAGTGACTCCGGCAGATAACTTTAGAAAGTACCTTGGCTTACCCTCTTTTCTGGGTCGGAACAAGACCGAGGTGTTTACTTACATTGCAGATAAAATTCGTCACCGAATTGGGGGTTGGAGTAAGAAACTGCTGTCTAAAGCAGGGAAGGATGTCTTACTCAAGACTGTGGCTCAAGCTATGCCTCAATTTGCGATGAGTGTGTTTTTGCTCCCCAAGTCCATGTGCTCTAACATGGAGCGGTTGATGAATGCTTTCTGGTGGCACGGGAGAGGAAACTCGGACAGGGGTATTAATTGGCTCTCTTGGGAGCGTATGGCGGTCCCTAAAAAATTTGGGGGTCTTGGTTTTAAACATCTCCTCGGGTTCAATATTGCTATGTTGGGAAAGCAAGGCTGGAGATTACTCACTCAACCTGATGTTTTGGTGTCTCGGGTCTTCAAAGCAAGGTACTTTCCCACCACTTCTTTTCTTGAGGCTAAGTTGGGGGGTACGCCTAGTTACTGTTGGCGAAGCATTTTGGCTGCCCAACCCCTTATTAAGGCAGGGGCCCGTCGTAGAATTGGCAATGGTTCTGACACTCTCGTTTGGGACAGTCCGTGGCTTCCAGACGGTGCTGATCCACAGGTGTGCTCGGATCTGACAACCCATTGGCCTAATTTCCCAGTTTCTTTTCTTATCAACAGAGAGAGCGGTGTCTGGAACTTGGAGCTACTGCATCAGATCTTCGGCCAAAGGGACATTGAATTGATCCTTAAAATTACTCCAGATATCAATAGAGGTGACCGGTGGTTTTGGGCTGGGCAGTCTCATGGACAGTACACAGTGAAGGATGCCTATCGTAATTTCATGGGTGAGGCAGATTTTGTACTTGGTTTCTCAAACTGGGGACGGCTTTGGAAGATCTCGGTGGCCATGAAGGTGAAGGTTTGCTTATGGCGTGCTCTTCGAGGTATTCTCCCAACCATCTCGGCTCTAAATTCTAAAGGATTGAACCTTGATAATTCTTGTCCGGTGTGTGGCCAGACCGGGGAGTCACTTGAACATGTCTTTCTCCAGTGCCGATTAGCAGATAGAGTGTGGAGGAGTCTGCATATTGGAGGAGACAGAAATCTAACTTTTGGGGCATGGTTCCAACGGCAGTGTGAGATTTGTTCACTTGAAGGGCTACAGGTTGTGGCATGGACTATTTGGGCGCTCTGGAAAACTCGAAATACCGCTGTCTGGGAGCAGCGTGTGGTTATGCCGCAGGCTGTGGTTCGGATGATTCACTCCATGGTGGCAGGATGGAGAAAT